AACCAAGGTTCCTGACAAAGCAGAAAATCAATTATTTTATCCAATATTCAAGGCAAATAATTTTCAAAAATGTACACAGAACAAAGGGACAAAGGAAGGAAAGCTGCGTTCATTTTTAAAGGTGATTTTAGGCACAGAAGTGACTTGTAAAAGCAGCTTGAAACCCAAAATGGCCTTTTTCCCCTCAGAAGCCCAAAATGCCATTTTTCCCCCCAGAAACCCAAAATGCCATTTTTCCCCTCAGACGCCCAAAATGCCGTTTTTCTCCTCAGACGCCCAAAATGCCATTCTTCTCCTCAGACGCCCAAAATGCCATTCTTCTCCTCAGACGCCCAAAATGCCATTTTTCCCCTCAGAAACCCCAAATGCCCTTTTTCCCGTCAGAAACCCAAAATGCCCTTTTTCCCCTCAGAAACCCAAAATGCCCTTTTTCCCCTCAGAAACCCAAAATGCCATTTTTCCCTCAGAAACCCAAAATGCCATTTTTCTCCTCAGAAACCCAAAATGCCATTTTTCTCCTCAGAAACCCAAAATGCCCTTTTTCCCCTCAGAAGCCCAAAATGCCGTTTTTCCCCTCAGAAGCCCAAAATGCCGTTTTTCCCCTCAGAAGCCCAAAATGCCGTTTTTCCCCTCAGAAGCCCAAAATGGCCTTTTTCTCCTCAGAAACCCAAAATGCCATTTTTCTCCTCAGACACCCAAAATGCCGTTTTTCCCCTCAGACGCCCAAAATGCCGTTTTTCCCCTCAGACGCCCAAAATGCCGTTTTTCTCCTCAGACACCCAAAATGCCGTTTTTCCCCTCAGAAACCCAAAATGCCCTTTTTCCCCTCAGAAACCCCAAAATGCCGTTTTTCCCCTCAGAACCCCAAAATGCCTTTTTCCCCTCAGACGCCCAAAATGCCCTTTTTCCCCTCAGAAGCCCAAAATGCCGTTTTTCCCCTCAGAAACCCAAAATGCCCTTTTTCCCCTCAGAAACCCAAAATGCCCTTTTTCCCCTCAGAA